AGCAGAACTATTTGGGTCTATGTACCATGACACTTATATGAGCCTACTTTTATGAACATTACCAACATTGTGCCTGAGTGAAAACAAACTGCATGCTCGTCAGAAGTAGAGTTTGTTTGTTTGTTTAAAAAAAAAAGTTGTGTTTTACACAGTGAAACGCTGTTTGTCAATGAAAATGAATGATCTAACACTGTTTTGTTGCTAAGTCTCACAGAAATAATGTTGTTGAATACAAGAAGCCAAACGGAGGGCTGGAAGGACAGCTCCGGGGGTAAAGGTCAAGCTGCCAAGCCTGACCACCTGAGTTTGATCCCCAGCACCCACATGGTGGAAGGAGAGAAGTGACCTCCGCAAGTTACCCTCTGACCTGCACACACATGCAGTGTCATGTGCATTCTGGTACACACACACACACACACACACACACACACACATATATATATATATATATATATATATATATATATATATATATGAACGGAATGTTTGTCTTTCTTAATAAAAAAAAAACCCCAAACGTAAACAGATACATTCTTTTATATCCAACATTACTCAATCTATAAATAAAGCTTGAAAAACAAAACAAAACAAAAACTATTAATGGGTTATGGAATGTGTGTAAACAAAATCAGTTACCAAATGTTTTGCTGAGGAGGGAAGAAATCCCCCAGTGTTAGTGAGGTTTGCGGTTTGGTTTTGGTCCGTGGCTTTGGCATAAGGCTTCACAATGAATCTTTTTTTTTTTTTTTTAAGAAGCAAGTCACAAGATGACACACAAATATATATTTATAGCAGACTTATATCTGGCTACTTACACCATGAAAGCCAATACTTAAGAGGAGAGAGTTTGTGGGAAGGAAGCTCATTTTTGTTTGGTTTTGTTTTTAAAGGATTGGCCCCTTGGAGGAGAGAGGGAACTGTCACTGTCCTCCATCTCAGGGAACTGAGGCACACCACAGGCCTCCCGGGGACATGGCCAGGAAGATTGTGTTCTATATTCAGTCTTATTCTTCTAAATGGCGGTTCTCAACCTGTGGGTCATGAACCCTCTGAGTTTGGGGTGTCATATATCAGCTAACCTGCCTGTCAGGTATCTACATTACGATTCGTAACAGCAGCAGAATTACAGTTATAAAGTAGTAATGGAAATAATCTTATGGTTGGGGGGAATCACCACATGAGAAACTGAATTAAGGGGGCACAGACAGCATTGGGAAGGCTGAGATCCACTGCTCTAGGGTGGTGACGTCTGGATGGGCCTCAACCTCCTGAGACGTGTTCCTGTGGTTCTTTAGACAGACAAGTGACTTTCTGCACGTATGTGACTCGCGTCAGCTGATGCAAGAGGCTGAAGAGTTAGCAGGAGCACCACACTGTTCTGTCGTTATTAGGCCAGCTCTGTAAACGGAAAGGAGTATTTACCAGTTGTGATATTAATCACTTAGACGCCACCACTCTTTAGAATTTGAAAACTGGGCCAAGGGAGGGGTCGTCACTTCGCAAAGGGTGGGGGGAGGTGACACAGCCTTGCAGAGAACAACTGCCAGAGAAGCGGACATCTACGTTATGCATCCTGCAATAATCAAATCTCTAAGCGACGTCTCCACGTGCTGTAAGTATTCAAACTCATCTTCAGGCATTCGAAACAACTGACAACTTCTTTGTAATGGAATCTGGGGTCAAGAAATGCAGCCTGGGTCAACAGTAAGCAAACCCAGTTCTGTGGATTTCTTTTTTCCTCCCGCTTTTCCTTAAGTGACGTCATACATTGGTGGGAGGGTACTCAGGAAGAGCCTGAGTGTTGAGGGAAGTGGCCTGCAGCTGTCAGTCTTTATCAGAACCCCCCTGATGGACTTTCGAGTCTGGACCTCAGGGGAGGGCTGGCACATGCACTAACATCACTCGTTAGCTCCTCACGTCTGTTTGGTCCCTCCTAGGTGTCCTTGGCCTCAGTTCCTCAGTTCTAGTTGGTAAAGAGCCCCTCTATTCACAGTGGTAAGACATCTTGAGGCTGGCTCTTTTATTCTTTTCTAGAACTGTGGGCTCCTCGGTGGCATTGTGCTGGCTCCGCTTTGCCCTGGCAGCCCACCTGCAGCCATGCTTTATTTCTGCCATGCTATGGAGACTAAGGGCTCAGGTAGCTGCTGCCTCCCATCTAGAGACAAGTTCAGGGCTGATGTGTATGTGTGTGGGTTGTTCGTTCCCATAGGGCCTCAGTTTTCTGCCTCCTCCTCTACCTCTGCTTCTGCCACGCTAGTTAAAAAAAAAAAAAAAATCTCTACAAGAAGGAAGCTCACATCTTTTGGTTCCCTCTTAGACTTTTGTGGTATATAAATGCCAAGCTTTTGATCCCTTTGTTCTCTGCTTCCATGCTGACAGCTTTCCCCAAGGACGGCAAGAGGTGGGAAGAAAATGTGAAGGAGAAAAGAGTCCGCCTGAGTCAGTATGAGGCAATGTTTTTTTTTTTTTTTTTCTCTGCCTGTAGGTACCTGTGAATGTTGGGGGAAAGATCTGGAAAGCATCTTAGTGAACCCCGCTTGGAGGTTAGATGGAACTGGAAGCAGAATGGTACAAAAGGGAAAGGAAGGCTTCCCGGATCCCCGGTACCTACGAAACGTCCAAAATACTGGCAGTAAGCACATATGCCACACACTGTTGCAGCTAAACAGAGTAGGTAACTAACACTGAGAGGCCTATGGACGCGGAAGCCCACGTCAAAGCAAGGGGTGCAGGCCCACTCACAGGTCCTTTCCCAACAGCCTTCAGTGTTTTCATTCTCCACAGTTCTGAGAACTGATCAAAGAATCGCACAGTGGCCAAGTTAAACATTTTTTTTTTTTTCCAAAGAAACATTTCTAAAATCCAAGTGCTAGAGGCACAGTGAATGCATCTGATCCCTGGGGAGTGAGTTGTGAAATGAGCGTAGTATAAGATGCCATGTGATCACCAAAATGGCAGGGGGTTGACCCCGTGTGGTTCAGATAGAGGTGTGGCTGACTGGATAAAGATTGACAAATGGGGTAATGGACGAACGGGCGCACGGATAAATGAATGAGTATGTGTGGGTGTGTTGCAGTCTTGAGACACAGTTTTTTGTTTTGCTTTGTTTTTAGTTTTCCCTGATTTGCTTCCGTGTGACAGATGAGGACCATCCAGGCTACCAGGGTGTGTTGGGTTTTTGTTGCGGTTGTTGTTTGGTTGGTTTTTGTGGACTTGAAACGAGCTAGACTCTTTTTGGAGGAAGGAACCTCAACTGAGGTTGCCTCCATCAGCCTGCCCTGTGGGTGTGTCTGTAAAGCATTTTCTTGATGAAAAATTGATGTGGGAGAGCTCAGACCCCTGTGGGCCCTGTCAGCCCTGAGCAGATGGGTCTGGGCTGTATAGGAAATCAGGCTGAACAAGCCATGGGGAGCAAGACAGTAAGCAGCACCCTCCATGGTTTTCACCTCTGTTCTTGCTTCAGTTCCTGTCCTGACTTTTCTCAGTGATGGACTGTGACCTGGGAGTTGTAAGGTGAAATGATTCCTTTTCTCCACAGACTGCTTTTGGTGATAGTACTTATCCTAGCAACAGAAAACAAACTAGGACAGAGAGTACTCTTCACTCAGCCAATGTCTCTCTCTATATATATAATTATCATATATTCATATTTATTATTATATATGCATATATAAATAATGATTATTACATATTCATGGTATATGCCACTGAGTTATAAAAGGCTATCTTGTGTATGTATAAACTAGACATTGAGAATTGTTTAAGTTACTGTTCTATTGTTGTGAAGGGACATAATAACCAAGGCAGCTTATAAAAGGAAGCATTTAATTGGGGGCTTGCCTGCAATGTCAGAGGTTTAGTCCATTATCGTTGCGGTGGGGAGCATGGCGGCAGGCAGGCAGGCAGGCATGGCGCTGGAGCGGTAGCTCAGAGTGTATATCTTATCTTCAAGATGGAGGCAGAGACAGAGAGAAAGAGGGAGAGAGAGGGGGTGTGGGAGAGCGAGCACACAAGACTGGGCCCGATGTAGGTTTTCTTCTTCTTTTTTTAAGATTTATTTTATTTTATGTGTATGGGTATTTTGCCTGCATGCACAGACAGATGCACCACAGGCATGCCTGGTTCGATGGATCCCCTGGAACTGGAGTTACAGACAGTTGTGGGCTGCCATGTAGATGCTGGGAATTGAACCCAGGCCCTCTAGAAGAGCAGCCAGTGCTCTTAACCCCCCACTCATCTCTCCAGCCCCTTGTATGGGTTTTTGAAACCTCCAATCCCACCGTCAGTGACACACCTTCTCCAACCATGCCACACCTCCTAATCCTTCCTACACAGCCCAGCAACCAGGAATCAAACGCTCAAATGTATGAGCCTCTGGTGGCCATTCCCATTCCAACCACAGCATGATCCTCCATTGCCCTTCATCCTCCTCTTTCTCGCCTCTTTCGTTATTCCCCCGTGTCTCCCTAGATGGTTTCTTTTCTACCGCACACATATATACATATATGATTAGATTTACCGACATAAAATCTAGACATCGTATATGAGAGAAAACATGCAGTTTGTCTTTCTGAGGCAGGCTTAATTCACATAATGTAGTTGGCTCCAGTTGAACCATTTTCGTACAGTGTAACCTCATTCTTTTTATGGATGAAAGAACCCCATTGTGTGCATGTGCTGTGTTCTGCCCATTCCTCTATTACTGGACGCTCACTCGGCTGTTGTGAATAGGGCCACAGAAAACACTGACGTGCAAGTATCTCTGTGATGCGTTGACTTGGAGTCGTCTGGGTAAATACCCAGACGTGATACACCCGGGTCATGTTGGAGACCTATTTCCGGCTGTTTTGAGGAAACTCCATCCTGATTTCCATTATGGCTGGACCTAGTTTACCTTCCCACTAGCAATGTACAAATGTTTCCTTTCATCCACATCTTCACGAGCATTGTTGGTTATTTGCTTGCTTTCTTTAAGACATTTATTTATTTTATGTGTCTACATGCATTCCTGAGTGTGTACATACATACAGGAGCCCTTGGGGGTCAGATGAGGCACAAATCCCGTTGGAACTGGAGTTACAGATGGTTTGGGGCCACCTGGGTTCGGGGAGCCAGACTGAGGTCTTCCGTAAGAGCCGCCAGGCACACAAACTGCTGACCCGTCTCCCCAGCTCTGCCATCTGTCTTCTTAATGACTGTGTTCAGTCTGGGGGAGGCTGAATGTCAGTGTAAGCTCAGTTTGCATTTCCCTGACGGCTGATGAGGTTGATGATGTCTGAATTCCCCGAGTGACTCTTCTAGTTGCCATGGGGAGGGACTAGCTCAACCATTAGGGACACAGAGAGATAGGGTACCACCCTGGGCAATCCCTCTCATGTTTGGAGCAGGAACAGGTGACAGTGTCCCCCGTCAAGTCCTCATAGCCTCTGCTGTTCCCGTGGAACCTTCTAATTTGTGGGCATCACGCGTTGTCCGTCCTTCCTGGTCACTCTGAGAGTGGGGCTCCCTGTAGGAGCAGCAGACATTTCTATATCTCCCTGGAGCCCCTCAGCCAGAGGAGTCCCACCCTCACAGGGGGTGTTTGTTTGGAATTGGGGTGGTGTTTCATCACCTGACTGGGGAAGCCAAGTATACTCGGTGTCCCTCCCAAAATCAGCTTGTCCTATCAGGTACACAAAGGTAGGCAGAGGCCCTCGGTTCTTTCCTATATCCTCATGTAATGCTGGACAGGCTCTACCTGTAGGGACGTGAGCTAAATCAGTAACAAGACACGTAGCAGTGCAGCCCCCCCATTATAGAGAGCCTCCTCACCCTTCAGCATTGTGAGGTATGAACGTGAGCTGAGTCGTGGCAATGATACCTAGGACAGGAAGCCTGAGCCAAACTCCCACCCTCTGGTCTTCTCACAGTTCATCTACGTGGACCTGAAATCTTGTGAATTGGGTGGTCCAGGACTGACTGTTCAAAAGGACCTCCCTCCTTCTGTGATAAGAAAGCCTGTCCCCAGGAGAATTAAGCCCAGAGTGATGATGCCTCTAGAGGCAGGACCAGCCCCTGCCTTCTCTGAAGCCCTACCCTTATCCTCAAGCGTTGAAAAGATTCTTAGGGTGCCCAGCTCCTTCCTCAGTGGGAGAGGTTCTGGATTCTCAAGGAGTGTGGTCAGAGCCATGGTTCTGCCTCCACCAAGAAAGAAATGCATTGCTTGGGCCCATCCCACAGCCACTGAGTCAGAGCAAACAGCCAGGCCCCTTGTCCTACTCTGAGGCAGGGAGACGTAACTGTCCCTCTTCACTGTGGCAGGAGGGGGTTCCAGCCCAGGTGGCGTTAATCTTTAGAGAACACTTCCTGTTTTGTAAGTGTTTCTGTCTCCAGAGCTACTACTATTTCAGAGATAAGAAAATGAACCTGGGCAATGTGTTGGAAGAGCTTTATGAAAAAGTAAACTGAGGCACAGAGTGGTCATAAGAGTCCTGAATAACAAATACAGAGCCAGTTTGGCCTCCTGTAAAAAAAAAAAAAAAGCTCAGTCAGCTCCCTGTCCTAGGGATCAATAGCAGGTGGCCCCATGAGAAACTCCTAGGAATCTGGGAATTCTGAAATGTGTGACTATTCTAACCAGGCTTGGCTGTGTTAAATGAGCAAATGACTCACGTCACCTCAAAGGATAGTTTCTGTTCCAAAAACGTTATCCCAAAGCTTTCATTGGAGAGTATTTCCTTTGTGCACTTCAAAAGGAGATTCAGAACTAGGAAGACGGGTCAGAATGCAAAGGTCTTGTCACTCGAGCAAGATGACCCAAGTTTGATCACGAGGACTCATCCAAAAAGCCAGGTATGGGAGCTGGAGAGATGGCTCAGCGGTGAGGAGCACGTACCGCTCGCGCAGAGGACCTGGGTTTGGCTCCTAGTACGCACATGGCGGCTCAAGTATCTGTAACACCAGATCCAGGCAGCCCGGAATCCTCTCCTGGCCTCCACTGGCACCAGGCGTGCACGGGGCACATGTTCACAGATGCAGGAGAAACACTCGGAGACATAAAATAAAAATTAATAAAATCTAAGCCAGGTGTGGCATCACATGCTAATAATACCAGGGATGCCAATGAGACCATCTGTGTGCTTCAGATGCAGAGGCAGGTAAGCTCAACATTCAGGAGGCAGAAGCAGGAGTATGGGTATTTGAGGTCAGCCTGGGCTACATAGTGAGACCCTGTCTCAAAGGCACTCAATAGCTATTGATATATTGATATCAAAACGCTGCTCACGTCCACCCGTCATAAGACATGCGGTACTCCCGTTTCTCTGGAGGTCATGGAGAATGAGGTCAGCCTCTGGACTCAGGTGTCACGCGAGGGACTACCGCTGCTAAAGGCTCGAAAAGAGTCAGGAGGAAGCCTGTGGCTGAAGCAAAGACAGGTCTCGGGTAATAGACGATTGAGTGACTCCCTTCTGGCAATGAACCACAGAACAGACCTCACAGGGAGAGAAGGCTTGCGTGTTCACGCTCCTCCCCACCCCCTGCTTTTGTGGCTTTTGTCCCCGTGACCTTCTTTACAAATTTTAATTAACAGACTTTATTCTTTGGAGCAGTTTTAAGTTCACACGCACACAAAGAGTAGAAACTACAAAGAGTTTCTCTACTGGGTCTGCCCCCTACCTTTCTCCTATTACTCACAGTTTGCATTCCTGTGATACCTTTGGGATGAATGATGCACAGGGATTGATGTGCCATCCTTAGCTGGAGGTCAGTGTTTCCATTAAGACTCCTGCTGCGCTGATAACTCATATGTACATATAATGTTATATGAAAGTTTTACTGTCTGAAAAACACCTTGTACAGCATCAGGGAATAGGGACAAGGGAAGGGTACCGAGGGACAAATACAAGCAAAGTAAAACGATATGTGTGTGCAGTGTAAAAAGTGTTCTCATAGAACCCATGATTTCATGTGTTCACTAGAATATTAACATTATAAATACATACAAATGCCTTGGCTCTCTTATTCATTTCTTCCTCTCCAGCTCTTAGCCAATGCCTGATCTGTGTGTGTGTTGTGTATGTGCATGCCTGTGGGTCAGAGGATAGTTTGTGAAGTTGCTTGTTGGTTATCATTCCACTTTTCTCGGGAGGGAAGGAGGAATGTGTAACCCTGGCTGTTCTGGAACTCGCTCCATGGACCAGGCTGGCTTCAAACTCAGAAATCCATCTGCCTATCTCCCTCGTGCTGGGATTTTAGACGCGCACCAGCGCTGCCCAGCTCACATTCTGCTTTTACGTGGACACCAGAGATCTGAACTCAGCTCCTCAGGCTTCTGCAACATGCACTTTAAGTTATCTCCCTAGGCCCCACCTGATTTTTTTCCTGTCTCCACGATTTTGCCTTTTGCGGAATGTCGCAGACATGGGTTGGTGTGCTATGTGGCCTACATTCAGACTGGCCTCCTTCAACTGAACAATATGCATTTGTTTCTTTCATGTCTTTGTATGGCTTATCAGCTCGTTTCTTTTTAGCAAGGACCACGTGACCTTTTTAATGTGGGGCAGAAAACCCTGCAGGCTGAGCCAGGCCCTTCTTGCCACCATCTCCCTGGAGGTGGGGGTGCGGGGGGTGTAGAGGTGAGCATTTGCTGGCCGCACATTCTTAGGACAGGTAATGCATTGAGTCTGTCCCCTACCAGCTGCAACGTGCTGGAGTGATGTGACAGATGTGGAAGTGGGGGCAGGAGCAAGTACTAAAACCACCTCAAATGAGAGGCAGGAAGGACAGCATCTCAAGAATGCCCCCATTTTGTTAGTTTACAGCCACTGGTTTCAGGAGGATATGGAGGGCCTGCAATAGACCTTTAAAAGACACATTCCAAGTAAGCATGATGGATCTGACTTCAATTCACCAGCACCCACATGAAACGCTGCAGACCAGGCAGTGTGCACCTGTGACCTTAGTACCTGAGAGAGGAGACAGACAGATCTAGATTCCTGGAGCTTGGTGGCCAGCCAGCCTAGCAGAATCAGAGAGATCCTTTAAAAAAAACAGATCCAGAAGAAAGTGATTGAAGAAGACACCCTATATGGACATCTGGTCTTCACATGTGTGTGCATGAATGTGTAAACATGCACGAAAGAAGAAACATCCTAGCTGGGCTCAGTGGCTCACGCCTGTAATCCCAGCACATTATAGGAGGCAGAGGCAGGCGGATCTCTGTGAGTGCAAGACCAGCCTGATCTACAAAGCAAGTGTAGGACAGCCTAAGCTACACTGAAGAAGAAGGAGGAGGAGGAGGAGGAGGAGGAGGAGGAGGAGGAGGAGGAGGAGGAGGAGGAGGAGGAGGAGGAAAAGAAGGAGAAGGAGAACAAGAAGGAGGAGAAGGAGAAGAAGAAGGAGGAGAAGAAGACACATACATCTTCAGACACATTAGACACACACACACACACACACACCCCGCCTTGTAGGAGGTACAACCTGCCACCTGAATAGCACAGACAGAATGGTGACACAAGGAACCCTCCTGGCCTCTGCCACGTGTTAACCCTTTCCCCCAAAATCAGGCAAGGAAAGAGAATTCCCAAAGGTGAAAGATCACCCTCCAACTGCCTTAAATCAGCATGGCTGAGGCCAGCAAGTTGTAACAGCTGCCTGGCTGCCTTCTGCCTTCTCCCCCCGACCCCCTTCAGTAAATGGTGCTTCAGAGGAACCGGGCAGCATCTGGACACCCCCCCCCCCAACACAGGCAGGCTCAGTTTGATCTCATCTGTCCCACTCCCCCAGGGCCAGGACAAAAGTGTCACTCTGCGTGTGACACGGTGGCCTGATTTGTTCTCACCCCTGCAGTCCCTGTCAATGACTCCCGACTTCCCAGCCTCCTTTGGTCCTGCTTTCTTCTTTGGCTGGCATTATTTATCGCAGCAAAACGAACAGAGGAGCGAGCACTCTCAGGAGTGCCAGTCGCCCACAGTTCCTTAAGAGTTGGGTAACCTCAAGGTATTCACTCCTTCCTGTCAGTAGGCACCAGAGGACAGGGGTGCAAAGAATTACTGCAGGAGCCACCAAAGAAGGAGCATTGGAGTGGGAGAAGAAATACAAAAAAGAAAGAGAGAGAGAGAGAGAGAAAAGAAACAGACTACCCAGGAAAAAAAAGGCATTTGCTACCATCTGATAGCACATTGGCGAAGGTTGCATGCCATTGCTTTGAAAGTCCGAATTTAACAATACGGGGGACCCTATGCCTGTGAATCTCAGGCCTAATGCATCTGAAGCCCAAACTACAAAGGTCTCTGATGTTTCTTTTTCCAGACTTTTTTTTTCTTTTCTTTCCACGATATGAACTTTCTTAAGGCCCCCTCTTCCCAACAAGCCGTCCTCCGTGTCTCTTTCTTGCTGAAGCTGCAGATGTACACTGAGGTGCTGTGGAGACGGCTAATTAAACTGCAGAGGCTCGGCGGGGAGGCAGGGAAGGCCCCGCAGAGCACGCAGGGTGATTGATTTGCACTGTCACACGGCTCTGCTGGGTGTCATAACTTAGTGACAAATCATGGATTACAGTGGCCCAGACTAACTCGCTCCCTCTGTTGTGCCGCAGACTTCAAAGCCGTCAAGCATATTAGTGTTTTTAATAAGTAGTTAGGTCAGGGACTAGCTTGCATTTCAGACTTACTTTTCTGTACCGCAGAAGGTATTAGAGTTAAGGGGGGGAGGGGAGAAGGAGCCGACATTTATTATCAGGATGAGAAAAAAAATAAAGTATGATGTAATAAACTAAACTAAAATTAAAAGGCTGTCCTAGAATGGGAGCCGGCTCTTTGTTGGGGTGTTGGAGGCTTTTGCATTATTTGTCTCAGCCACATGGTGGCCTGCTGTGGTGAACTGTATCTTCTAGAAATTAGATTCCTACCCCGAGCCCCACTCCCAACACACAGGGGGAAAATGACTCCCAGCGCTTCAGTTCTTCAAGGGGGAAGGTTTATAAGCAAAGGGCTTCGTTTTAATCAGCTCGGGAGGCTGGGAGGGTCAGGGTGGCGTGTTTGTGAGCGAACATCCTGTCCTCAGCAATTAGTATCATAAAGTAGGGGTGGCTGCTCTTATCTCTGAAGTGTACAGCTCCCCGAAGACAGCTGCAGCAAGGCGGTTTATCTCGGGGTTGTTTACCTGCAGCCACAGAACACAGACCTGAGCATCACAGCGAGCTGAGAGGATGGAAACCTTTCCCTCTGTCCTTCCACCGTGGCTGCTGTGGAGCTCATGGCTGTGCCACAGCCTGCCAAAGGTCTTTGGAGGACGCTCCTGGGGTCAGGCCACGGTGATTCCAGAGCTTGACCAGTTGGCGAAGTTGTGAGGAATCCTTTATCTCTGTCTCCTCAGTGTTATGCTACCCCCCCCCCCCCCCCCCTGCTGAGTTTGTTTATTCTTGAAACAGGGCTCTTACCTGGGGGCTGGTTCCACATTCCTGGGCTCCTGCAGAGCGCTGCCTCAGCCTCCCAAACTGCTGGGACCTCAGATGTATGCCACTGGGTCTGTTTAAGCTAGTTTAAGCAGGGGGAGCCCTCTGGTCATAGAGAACCCTGGCCATCGGTACGCCCAGGTCTCAACGAGGGTCACCCTATGTGTGCTTAGGGAGAGAGGTCCAAAGACACAGATGCAACTGGGAAGCTCTGGCCATTCTGTCAGCCTCTCTGGGCTTCAATTTCTTCCTTCTACATAACGGAAGATAGTCTTTCCTTGCGTCTTCTCTCATAAAGTTATGGCAGCCTAATAAAACAACACTACAGGAAATAGTTCATGAATTCCCAGGCACTATGCGATCCAGGCAGAAAACAGGAACTCCTCTCCGACGCACACTTTGTCAACCTGGTTGAAGCCAGCCTGACCTTGATGCCCTACATGAACACTCATAAAAGAGTTCACCTCCAGAAGTTTTTTTTTTTTTTTTTTTCTGAGACTCATATCAGTTGATGCTGTGTGAAAAGCCCACCTGGGAGGTAAAGGACCAGAAGTCCAACGTCATCCTTGGCTGCTCAGCAAGTTTGAGGCCAGCCCGGGACACGTGGGATTCTATATCAAAACGGAAATAGCA